TCATTTTTGCTTCCTGGACACATAATTTTCGATTTGTACCTATAAGATACCACATCCACCAATTAATATAGTAATATAAATTAATCCGAAAAAAAAAATCCACGTAAACGTAGAGTTTTGTTTCTACACTCTAGTGTATCTTTTTTATCTAGTGTTTTTGCTGTTGTTTTTTGATGCGGATTAAAGTGCTAGTATTATTGTAGTTCGTGTTTTCAAGAACGTTGTTGCGAATGCACTTTTGCGCATGTTTTTTTACATGTACGTTTGTGCATGTCCATTTGAGCGAGTGTGCTTATGCATGTTTGGGTATTTGTATTAATGTCCTAGGATTGTAGTTTGTGTCCACGAAGTCGAGCATAACTTTCTCATCCGGACTCCAAATCAACTGGTTCCGGCGGCGTTGAAAAGCTATTTCAGCTTGTTACAATATCTGTCTAATGGCAAAATTCTGAATTCGGACTCGAACATGGTCAAAAACAAATTCCAAAAGGGATCATGAAAATAAGTACTACAGTTCGAGGACATGAATGCGCATCAAGAAACGTGCACAAAAACACTCGCTAGAAGAGATACGTACATAAGTAAACGTACAAAAGCAGGCACAAAAGTAATCTTGCAAAAGTGCATTCGCAAAAAGGATCATGAAAACACAAACTACAATCTTATGACATTAATACAAATCAAGAAACATGCACAAAGACACTCGCTGAAATGGACTTGCAGAAACGTACATGTAAAAAAACATGCGCAAAAGTGCATTCGCAACAACGTTCTTAAAAACATGAACAATAATACTAGGACTTTAATCCGCATCAACAAACTTTAGCAGAAACACTAGATAAAAAAGTTAAAGTGGAGTGTAGAAATAAAACTCAACGTTTACGTTTACGTTTACGTGGACGTTTTTTCGGATTAGTTTATATTTCTATATTAATTGGTGGATTTGGTATCTTATAGGTACAATTCGAAAATTAGGTGTCCAAGAAGCAAAAATGATCAAAGAGTAAGAAAAGAGTTGCAATTAGGAAAATAAAATCAAATTAGCAGAGAGAATCACCGAACAACCTTGGTAGTGTCCAAGAAGTCGAGCATTACTTTCTCATCCGGACTCCGAATCAACGGGTTCCGGCGGCATTGGAAAGCTATTTCAGCTGGCTACAATTCCTGCCTAATGGCAATAATCCAAATTCGGACTCGAACATCGTCAAAATTGGATTCCAAAAGCAATCATGAAAATACGTACTACAGTGCGAGGACATGAATGCGCATCAAGAAACGTGCACAAAAACACTCG